GAAGCCCCGCGGCCTCATCCCCGACTGTCCCGAGCGTGGGCCCCCGCCCAGGCTGGGCCAGCAGATGAGCAACCTGGAGGAGGAATGGAGGAAGGTTTGGACGCCAGTCCCCCACCAACCCCCCGCGTCGCCAACGCGCTCCGCCCCATCCAGTTCCTCAGCCAAGTTACTTCAGGTCCTGGTCTGGAGCCTCGGGCACAGGCCTCCCCCCAGGAAATCCGCGCTGTCGCCGAGACCTTCAAGGCTTGCGCGGCGGTCGGCGCGGACCGTGACAGGCCGCGCGACTTTTTGTTGGCCTCCGACGCAGATTTGCAGTGCAGGGCTGGCCGTTGGTTTCACATAGAGAAGCTAGCCCATGTCCCTGTCCCCATCCGCCACATCCTTCTCGCCATGACCCCTTGAGATGGCGGGGGCAGGTCCTATCGGAGTTCTTCCAGCAACCATTCGTAGTTTCGGCAGGCTCGCTCGGATCGAAGGTAAGAGATGGGAACAGGAACGCCCTCGCACATGCCTCTTCGGCAGCAAGGGCAGTTCGCGCGAGCGCGCCATATGGGAGCAATCGGTTCGCGCAGAGCTTGCGCACATCTGTAAACACCAGTCGGCGCACGCACTCGCGGACATGTCAAAGTGCCATGAGAAGGCCCCTCATCAAATGAAGCGCAGGCTGGGCTGGAGTGAAACACGGCCTTCGAGCGCACCTTCTTAGGTACCTACTCACACTATACCGAGGCAAGCGCTCGCTGCAGTATGACATGCGAGTATCCACCGACATGTTCGTGGAGCAAGGGATCCTCGCGGGGTGCTCTTTTGCCACATCGCCCCCTTTTCATAAAAAAAAGAGAAGAGTTGACGTGCCTTGCGAAGCGGCGCGCCTGTATCCCAGCATGTCCCTTCACAACGTTGTTGGTGGCATCGCCGTCGGGGCTGTGGGCAAACGCAAACATGTCATCCATATGGTGCTGGGGGCTACCAGGTTCATCTGCGTCCAGTTGGAGCTCTTGGGGTTCACCATCTCGCCCGCGAAGGGCATCGCCACGGGCTCGTCGGCCCAGGTCGCCCAGGTCATTCGCGTGGGCCTCAAGCTGTGGGGCTGCAAGGGCTTGGGGGCCACGAAGAACCTAGGGGTGGACTTCGCCGGGGCTCCGAGGCGCTCAACTAAGATCCAGCAGCGCAAATGGCAGCCGTTCATCCCAAGGGTCCGACCTCAAGTCAACCTTGTCGGGCATGCACAGAGTCATCAAAATTGGGATTCCTGCTGCCTTCTACGGTGTCAGGGTCATGGGCATGGCTCCCGCCCAGTTGGCCTCGCCCAGGGTCATCATAGGCAACGCTGCATTCGGCCCAGCTAGAGGCCACAGCCGCACTACGCAATTTCTCTTCAGTCAGGGCCCGAAGCTGGACCCCACGTACCAAGCCAATTTTCTGCCTTTAGGAATGTGGCACCAAGCCATCCAGCAGCAGTGGCTCCCTAGGTCGATCCTCAGCACGTGCTGGGGGCACTACTTGTCGTCCTAGTCAGCCGTCGAGTGACCCAACGTCCTGGGCCCTACGGGAGCTGCCCTGGCCACCTTGCCGCGCCTGGGTTCGGGGGGGGGGGTCGGCAAGTGGGGCATGGGGGGCCGGATCTCGATTGACCTACCCACCTTCGGCCGGCACAGGGTGGCCGCCCTGATTGAGCAAGCCACGTGCCGCCAGCAGCAGCGCAACGTTTCAGCGCCAACAGCTGCTGGCCAGTTGAAGCCACCTCTGCTATTAGTCATCCGCGAGGAGGTCCAGCCCCTTCGGAAAAGCAATAACCTCGACGCGGCCATTTTCCTCAGCGGGGGTGTTGCTGGCGCATGCCCCTGTCAGTTGCAGCTGTTCATGGACCGAAGAGTTGTCGACCCGTGCTGCCTCCTGCGTGCACCCGCCGCCGGGACCCCCAAGCGCAGGCTCTATGAGTGCCCTGGCTTCCACCCATTCCGTCGAGATCTGGACCTGCGAGATGTTGTTCGGGAAGGTGTAGGTAGGCCCGGGCAAGATGTATTGCATACCAGAACCTTGGCCCAAGACCCTGGGGCCGACTGGCCCTAGCTGTCCTTGGCCCCGTCAAGGCACTGGCACTTGCGGCCCCCTCGGGACTTTTGGGCCCTCCGCTGTGCATGGACGGGTCAGGGCTCGACCAAGGCAACCCATTCTCTTCCAGGGCTGGACGGACTGCCGTGAGCATGCAGGAAGTAGGGGGTTCTGATGGCAGCGTGTTCAGGCCCTTACCCCATCCCCTCCAACGTAGTGGGGGAGGGGACCTATGCCCTCCTCATGGCCATCCGTTGAGCTGCCCCTGGTTCCCTTGCCATCTACTCTGGCTACCAGGCTGCGTTCGATGTTTGGACCGCGGGCCCCGACGCTGATCGATCGCAAGTTGCCTTTGCTGAGTTGTGGGATGAGGTGTTTTCCAGGCCAGTGAGTGCGGGCTCGAGTATATCGAGCTTCGGAAGATCAAAGCCCACCTCCCCTGGCAGTCCTGCTCCAGGACCTCTAGTGTACCGTTCTGGGCTTGGTTTGGCCACACCTTAGCAGACAAGCCGGCTCAGCGAGGTGCCCAGGCGCAAGTTTCCAACCCGCAGCTGGTGCGAAGGCGCAAAGATAGTCGCGACTCCGTCCATTTAATTTGCAAGTTCATTGGCGCCTTCGGTAAGCACCCGTCACATTATAATTTCCCCGACGTCCAGCGAGTCAAGAAGGCCCGCCGTCCGACGTTCGATGGCCTCCAGCTCGTGCCCGGCCGTCAAGGCCACGTGCTGCAACGAGTTAGTAAGGCTGGGATTTGCACCCGCTGTGGAGGTCGAGGCTTGTCGGAGCGTGTTGTGTGCGTGTGTGTGTGCTATGCCATGCACGGGCCTCCCCAGGCTCGCCCGCCAGGCCCACAAATCACATCGGCTCTGGCTCATGGGCCCTCCCTAGTGTGGTGCTCCAGATGTGCTGTCTTCGGAACGTCGAGGCTCCGCTTGCTCGGTGGCCCCTGCCACACGAACTCCCGCAACAAGGACGGAGATCAGTCCTTTACGCAACCCAAGGAGGGGACGGAACCGTCCACCAGCCGCGTGGTGGGCCGATCCTTCCGCCTCACTACCTCCGAGTTTTATCATTATAGCCCGAGCGTCGCGTTTCATCTGGAGGCATACGTTCCGCAACTTGAAGGAGCTTGAAGGAGCTTGAAGGAGGAGGAGGAGGAGGAGGAGGAGGAGGAGGAGGAGGAGGAGAAGGAGGAGGAGGAGGAGGAGAAGGAGGAGGAGGAGGAGGAGGGGGAGGAGGAGGAGGAGGAGGAGGAGGAGGAGGAGGAGGAGGAGGAGGAGGAGCAAGGAGGAGCAGCAAGGAGGAGGAGCAAGGAGGAGGAGCAAGGAGGAGGAGCAAGGAGGTGGAGGAGGTGGACCGTGGGGGCGCGAAGTGAACTGCGCTGCGCGCGTCGCGGCCAGGGCCGGCAAGCTGCACCTCCCCGGGGGGCGCTGCGCCTCGCGGGGCGCGACGGGCGAAGGCATGCGCTGGCTTCGCTCGCTGAGGAGGACGAGGAGGAGGAGGAGGAGAAAGAGAAAGAGAAAGAGAAAGAGAAAGAGAAAATGGGAGGAGGGAGGAGGGAGGAGGGAGGAGGGAGGAGGGAGGAGAAGAGAGAGAGAGAGAGAAAGACGCAGGGAGACCTCCGCAATCTTCCGGACACCGCCGCAGCCACAGGACACAGAAGGGAACAGGGCAGAGCACCCACCATGCCTCTTTTCCCCCTCGTCACCCCTTCTCTGTTCATCCCCACGCGCCTCCTCGTCCTTCTTTCCCATTAGCCTCGAGCCCCCCGCCTCCAGGAGCGAGGATTGAGAAGATGCTGGGGGGGGTTGGGGGGGGGCAGATGGCTCTGAGGGGAAGGGAGGGCCTAGGACTAGGATGGCGGCCTGCCTCTGAAGAGGCAGGTCCAAGAAAAGAGGGCAGAGCCAGAAAGGGGGGGGAGGGAGGGAGGGGACGGGAGGGGAGGGGAGTGAAGGAGAGGGAAGGAGAGGGAAGGGAGGGAGGAGGAAAACGAGGATGAAAACAAGGAGTGGTAGGAGAAGGAGGAGGAGGAGGAGGAGGAGGAGGAGGAGGAGGAGGAGGAGGAGGAGGAGGAGGAGGAGGAGGAGGAGGGGGGAAGATGACGGAGGAGGAGAATGATATAATAGAATCGAAATCTCTGGGGTGTCTGAAGCTCCCCCATAAAAGACACAGCACGTGCCACCCGAGTGGCGGTCCGACCGCAGCCTGCCGCCCGACTCTGCAGGCGGGGGAACGCCCAGGCCACAGCACGCCCAGGCTGGGGAACACCGGCGAAGGGGAGCCGGGGCACCACTCTCGGGGGCCCCCAAACGGGGTGGTGACCACACCGTGTGGTGAGTCGGTGGGGATTCGGGGTCACCGCACGGTTTTGGGACTCGGGTCGTTCTCCGAGGACGTCTCGGGCGACTGGAGCCTCCAGGGTCCCAAAGCCGTGCGCTGACGGACCGTGCGGTGAGGTCTTGGGGGATTTCAAGGTCACCGCACGGTCTGTCACCGCACCGTTTCGGGACTCCAAACACTCAAGTTCTCACAACCGCTCAAAACCAAGTGATCGAACGCAGACCGAGCACACGAGCAACAGTCATTGCCGTCGCTCGGGGGGCTCGCTTCGAGGGTGCTCTCGGGAGAACGGGACACGAGGGCAGGATTCTTGTCTTTGTCCCCTGGAGCTCTCGACTAAAAGTTGCTTGTGTGAGGTGGGCCTGGGAGGGCTGAGTGAGGAGGAGGAGGCGAAGGGGAGCTGGCAGCAGCGGCGGCATCACTCAGAGCGGCAGCAACTCCGACATCTCCCCCCTCAATCAAACGACGAAGCCTTTCACCCCATGCGAACGGCAATAGACGTCGATCAAGTTGTCGAGTCACGACTTGTCGAGAGCTTCTCTAGAAGCTTGTCTGCTTCCCTGTCCAAGGCGCCCCTCGGGGCCGCTCCGATTGTCTCTCCCGAGGAGCTCCGCCGCCTCCTCGCGAGGATGCTCGAGAAGCCGCCCGAGAGGAGGCCCTCCTGCCTGCTCCGCGGGCCGTGGCAGCAACCGCCGCGGCCACCGCCCCCCCGCCAACGCTTAAGTCGGGCATTGTATCCCTCTACAGGGGATGATTTTTCGGGTACTTTTCAACCATGTTTGGGTTTTTGTTGGCTCTTTTAAATGTTTCGTTCAAAATCCCCCGGTAGGGGCACATGCCCGACCTGAGCCAACGCCAACGCCGTCGCCGCCGCCGCCGCCGCCGTCTGCACGGCAGGCACGTCAGGCAGGAGACCGGCCGGCCGCCGCGGCCACCGCCGCCGCCGCCAACGCCGTCGCCGCCGCCGCCGCCGTCGTCTGCACGGCAGGCACGTCGAGCTGGAGGCGGGCCAGCCGCATCGGCGATGCGGCTCGATGTGGAGCCCGATTTTTTCTCCACGCCGATGGCGCCGATGCCTTGCCGACGTCGCCGGTGCATTGCCGATGCATCGGCGATGTATCGCCGATGCATCGCCGATGCGGCGCGATCCTCCGACCCCATCTATTCGGACCCCATCCAGGATGCCTCTACGAGCGCCGCCGCCGTCGCCGCTGCCGTCCAGAGGGGCCAGAAGTTTGGCTCAGCGTTGTGCGCCGCTGGTTCTGCGTCGGGCATGTCCCTCGACAGGGGGAATATTCAAGAATCGTACAAAACTACTAGTCAGGTGGCGATTTGTCTTACCTTCTTTTATTGTTTGTTTTGACGATTTTCATTGTTATTCCAAAGTCCGCCTGTAGGAGGACAGGCCCGAACTAACGCTGGTTCTGCCGCGCCGCTGTTCTGGCGCACAACGCTTCGGCGCGACACTCTGGGCACGTTCCCGTTTCCAGGCGTCGATCCCAGCCTCCTGCCCCGCGGGGCGGCGCGACGCGCTAGCCGTTGCAGGGCATGGCGTGTCGCCAGGACTGCCGTTGCGACACTTTTTGCGTCGCAGCGCGGCAGAGGCAGTCCGCACGCGCGTCCAAGCAACACGGGCAGCGGTTTGCGAATTGTCCCGCATGCAAGAGGCTGGGAAAAGCAATGGGCCGGCCGCTGAAGAGGGGGAGGGGGGGGAGGGGGAAGGCGCACTCACGCGGCGAGGCCGCAGCAGGGCGCGCGGGGCGGCCGAGCCGGTGTAGCAGCCCCTGGCAGCGGGCGCGGGGCGGCATCACGAGCGCACCCAGGGGTGGGTCCAGCGGCTGCAGTGCGGGGCGAGGCCCAGCAAGCGGAGGGGAGGGGGCAATTGCTGCAGGGACCACGGCAACCCCAGTCGTCCGAGAGGGGGCTGGTGCGGCTGCTGGGGAGGCAGCACAAGCAGGCTGCAGTGGCAGACCAGGGGGGGCCGGGAAGGCCTGGCGGGCGAGCGACGCAGCAGTCGCGAAGGCGTGAGACTCCGCGGTGCAGCCGGCTGGGAGCCGCGAGGAAGAAAGACGCGACAGGCCGGGCGTAGCGAGCTCGGCTGGAGAGGCGCCGCGAGACCAGGGTGGCCGCGGGAGCGGCGCGTGGGAGCCATGCCCAAGGCCGCGGACTGGCGGGGCGGGGCGGGGGAGGGGGGGGGGGAGGCAGCGAGGCCAGGCCCGGGGCCGGTGCACGCAGCACACCCGTGTGGGCAGGGCGGCGCCCGGCCGAAGCGGGAGCTGGGCGGCGGCTCCCGGCGAGAGCCGCTTGGAGGCAAAAAATTATAGCCGGAGTGCAGTATCCCCAAACAGGGTTTTTAGACCCACTGCGGTTTCCAAGGTCGATTGCGTGCCCGTCCAGTGCGGGCTGGCATGGCATGTTAAACATGCCTCCTCCTCCTCCTCCTCCTCCTCCTCCTCCCTCCTCCTCCTCCTCCTCCTCCTCCTCCTCCTCCACCTCCTCTTCATCCCGAACGGCATCTCGGAGCCCAGAGTTGCGAGGATGTCTCCAGCGTAACGGGCTGGACCACCTCGCGCGCGGCATTTCGGACCCCAGAGTTGCGACGATGTCTCGGGCGAAACGTGCTGCGAGGAAGTCTCAGGCGAAACGGGCCGGACCACCTCGAGCGCGGCGTCTCAGAGCTCCGAGTTGTGGGGGCCTCCTGGGGCCTCCTGGGACCTCCTGGTGACCTCCTGGGGCTTCCTCCTGGGCCTCCTGTGGCCTCCTGGACCCCACCTGGGGCTTCCTGAAGCCTCTTGGGGCTCCCAGGGGGGATATCTAACATGTAGCCGTCGGGGCCCCCCAAAATGGGGGGGGGCCACAAGAGCAGGAAAAATCAACGAATCGGCACCGGATGTGTATTAACTTGACACGTTCTGATAGGGGGTCTCCTGGGGCCTCTTGGGAATCTCCTGCTCCCCCCTGGGGCCTGTCCTGGGCGTCCTGCGACCTCCTGGAGCTCTCTGGGGTCTCCTGGGGCTCCCAGGGTCCCAGGGGGGGATATGTAACATGTGGTCTTCTGGGCCCCCAGGCTGGACCACCTCTTGCGCAGCATCTGAGAGCTCAGAGTTGCGAGAATGTCTTGTCGAAACGGGCCGGACCACCTTGCGCACGGCATCTCAGAGCTCAGAGTTGCGAGGATGTCTCAGGCGAGATGGGCCGGACCACCTCGCGCAGGGCATCTCGGAGCCCAGAGTTGCGAGGATGTCTCAGGCGTAACGGGCTGGACCACCTCGCGCGCGGCATCTCGGACCCCAGAGTTGCGACGATGTCTCGGGCGAAACGTGCTGCGAGGAAGTCTCAGGCGAAACGGGCCGGACCACCTCGAGCGCGGCGTCTCCTAGGAGCCTCCCGGATATCTCCTGCTCCCCCCTGGGGCCTGTCCTGGGCCTCCTGCGGCTTCCTGAAGCTCTCTGGGGCCTCTTGGGGCTCCCAGGGTCCCAGGGGGGATATGTAACATGTGGTCTTCTGGCCCCCCAGGCTGGACCACCTCTTGCGCGGCATCTGGGAGCTCAGAGTTGCGAGAATGTCTTGCGCGGAACGGGCCGGACCACCTTGCGCACGGCATCTCAGAGCTCAGAGTTGCGAGGATGTCTCCAGCGTAACGGGCCGGTGTCTCGGGCGAAACGTGCTGCGAGGAAGTCTCAGGCGAAACGGGCCGGACCACCTCGAGCGCGGCGTCTCAGAGCTCCGAGTTGCGGGGGCCTCTTGGTTCCTCCTGGGGCCTCCTGGGGACCTCCTGGGGCTTCCTTCTGGGCCCCCTGTGGCCTCCTGAACTCCACCTGGGGTTTCCTGAAGCCTCTTGGGGCTCCCAGGGGGGAATATCTAACCTGTGGCCGTTTGGGCTCCTCAAAATGGAAAGGGGGGGGGGCACAAGAGCAGGGAAAATCAACGAATCGACACTGGATGTGTATTAACTTGACACGTTCTGATAGGGGGCCTCCTGGGGCCTCCTGGGAGCCTCCTGGGAATCTCCTGCTCCCCCCTGGGGCCTGTCCTGGGCGTCCTGCGGCCTCCTGGAGCTCTCTGGGGCCTCCTGGGGCTCCCAGGGTCCCAGGGAGGATATGTAACATGTGGTCTTCTGGGCCCCCAGGCTGGACCACCTCTTGCGCGGCATCTGGGAGCTCAGAGTTGCGAGGATGTCTTGTGCGAAACAGGCTGGACCACCTGGCGCACGGCATCTCAGAGCTCAGAGATGCGAGGATGTCTCAGGCGAGACGGGCCGGACCACCTCGCGCAGGGCATCTCAGAGCTCAGAAGTTCGAGGATGTCTCAGGCGGGCTCCCAGGGTCCCAGGGAGGATATGAAACATGTGGTCTTCTGGGCCCTCCAGGCTGGACCACCTCTTGCGCGGCATCTGGGAGCTCAGAATTGCCAGAATGTCTTGTGCGAAACAGGCTGGACCACCTGGCGCACGGCATCTCAGAGCTCAGAGATGCGAGGATGTCTCAGGCGAGACGGGCCAGACCACTTCGCGCAGGGCATCTCAGAGCTCAGAAGTTCGAGGATGTCTCAGGCGAAACGGGCTGGACCACCTCTCGCGCGGCATCTCCGAGGTCAGAGTTACAAGGATGTCTCAGGCGAAACGGGCCAGACCACCTCGCGCAAGGCATCTCAGAGCTCAGAGTTTCGAGGATGACTCAGGCGAAACGGCCCAGACCACCTCTCGCACGGCAACTCGGGGCTCAGAGTTTCGAGGATGTCTCAAGCGAAACGGCCCAGACCACCCCTCGCGCGGCGTCCTGGAGCGCAACTTTTTGAGGATGTCTCAGGCGAAACGGCCAATCCCGGCCAACTCAGAAACGAGAGTTGTGAGGATGTCTCAAGCGAAACGGCCCGGACCATCAAATTTTTGGTGAGGATGTCTCTGCTCCGATTTCCCTCGGCCAGAATTAGCCTCTATCACAACAGCACCCCGTTCAGCAAGCTGTTTGGGGAAAGAATCAACGAGTCGACACCGGATGTGTATTAACTTGACACGTTCTGATAGGGGGGCCTCCTGGGGCCTCCTGGGAGCCTCCTGGGAATCTCCTGGGGATCCCTTGGGCCTGTCCTGGGCGTCCTGCGGCCTCCTGAAGCTCTCTGGGGCCTCCTGGATATGTAACATGTGGTCTTCTGGCCCCCAGGCTGGACCACCTCTTGCGCAGCATCTGAGAGCTCAGAGTTGCGAGAATGTCTTGTCGAAACGGGCCGGACCACCTGGCGCACGGCATCTCAGAGCTCAGAGTTGCGAGGATGTCTCAGGCGAGACGGGCCGGACCACCTCGCGCAGGGCATCTCGGAGCCCAGAGATGCGAGGATGTCTCAGGCGTAACGGGCTGGACCACCTCGCGCGCGGCATCTCGGACCCCAGAATTGCGACGATGTCTCGGGCGAAACGTGCTGCGAGGAAGTCTCAGACGAAACGGGCCGGACCACCTCGAGCGCGGCGTCTCAGAGTTCCGAGTTGCGTGGGCCTTCTGGGGCCTCCTGGGGCTTCCTCCTGGGCCTCCTGCGGCCTCCTGGACCCCACCTGGGGCTTCCTGAAGCCTCTTGGGGCTCCCAGGGGGATATCTAACATGTGGCCGTCGGGCCCCCCCAAAATGGGGCGGGGGAGGGGGGCACAAGAGCAGGAAAAATCAACGAATCGACACCGGATGTGTATTAACTTGACACGTTCTGATAAGGGGGCCTCCTGGGAGCCTCCTGGGAATCTCCTGCTCCCCCCTGGGGCCTGTCCTGGGCGTCCTGCGGCCTCCTGAAGCTCTCTGGGGCCTCCTGGATATGTAACATGTGGTCTTCTGGCCCCCAGGCTGGACCACCTCTGGCGCAGCATCTGAGAGCTCAGAGTTGCGAGAATGTCTTGCGCGAAACGGGCCGGACCAACTTGCGCACGGCATCTCAGAGCTCAGAGTTGCGAGGATGTCTCAGGCGAAACGGGCCGGTGTCTCTGGCGAAACGTGCTGCGAGGAAGTCTCAGGCGAAACGGGCCGGACCACCTCGAGCGCGGCGTCTCAGAGGTCCGAGTTGCGGGGGCCTTTTGGTTCCTCCTGGGGCCTCCTGGGGACCTCCTGGGGCTTCCTTCTGGGCCCCCTGTGGCCTCCTGAACTCCACCTGGGGTTTCCTGAAGCCTCTTGGGGCTCCCAGGGGGGAATATCTAACCTGTGGCCGTTTGGGCTCCTCAAAATGGAGGGGGAGGGGCCACAAGAGCAGGGAAAATCAACGAATCGACACCGGATGTGTATTAACTTGACACGTTCTGATAGGGGGCCTCCTGGGGCCTCCTGGGAGCCTCCCGGGAATCTCCTGGGGATCCCTGGGGCCTGTCCTGGGCGTCCTGCGGCCTCCTGGAGCTCTCTGGGGCCTCCTGGGGCTCCCAGGGTTCCAGGGAGGATATGTAACATGTGGTCTTCTGGGCCCCCAGGCTGGACCACCTCTTGCGCGGCATCTGGGAGCTCAGAGTTGCGAGAATGTCTTGTGCGAAACAGGCCGGACCACCTGGCGCACGGCAGAGCTCAGAGTTGCGAGGATGTCTCAGGCGAGACGGGCCGGACCACCTCGCGCAGGGCATCTCAGAGCTCAGAAGTTCGAGGATGTCTCAGGCGGGCTCCCAGGGTCCCAGGGAGGATATGTAACATGTGGTCTTCTGGGCCCCCAGGCTGGACCACCTCTTGCGCGGCATCTGGAAGCTCAGAGTTGCGAGAATGTCTTGTGCGAAACAGGCCGGACCACCTTGCGCACGGCATCTCAGAGCTCAGAGATGCGAGGATGTCTCAGGCGAGACGGGCCGGACCACCTCGCGCAGGGCGTCTCAGAGCTCAGAAGTTCGAGGATGTCTCAGGCGAAACGGGCCAGACCACCTCTCGCGCGGCATCTCCGAGGTCAGAGTTGCAAGGATGTCTCAGGCGAAACGGGCCGGACCACCTCGCGCAAGGCATCTCAGAGCTCAGAGTTTCGAGGATGTCTCAGGCGAAACGGCCCAGACCACCTCTCGCACGGCACCTCGGGGCTCAGAAATTCGAAGATGTCTCGAGCGAAGGCCCGGACCACCTCTCGCGCGGCGTCCCGGAGCGCAACTTTTCGAGGATGTCTCAGGCGAAACGGCCAATCCCGGCCAACTCAGAAACGAGAGTTGTGAGGATGTCTCAAGCGAAACGGCCCGGACCATCAAATTTTTGGTGAGGATGTCTCTGCTCCGACTTCCCTCAGCCGGAGTTAGCTTCTATCACAACAGCACCCCGTTCAGCAAGCTGTTTGGGGAAAAAAAAGGGAGGGCAGCGCGGAAGCAGCGCCCCCCAAGTGGGGGGGGCAGAGTGCCACAGAGCAGTGCGGGTAGAGCGCCACCGTGCAAGCGCCACGGGCCGGTAGGCGCAGGGGCGTGCCTGCTGTCAAGCAGTGGCGAAGCGTCCTGGCTCGCCTATAGGCCAACCAAAGAAAGTTATGATGACCATTTGTGGTCTGCACGAAATGTTCTTAGAACATTTCGGGCTGAGACTGTCTTGTTTTAACACGTCGGGCTTATGTTCTAAGAACATTGCTTTTGTTATTCTAGCTTTTTGGGGTTCTGCGAACATCTCGTGGTAGGCAGATAGGAATGCCGGGACGGTCGGTCCCTGCTCAATGCTGGGCCCTGTCGGCCTGTGTGGCGGCGCGTGCGCCGAACGAGGCCAGGGGAGACGGGGCCCCAGGCAGCGGGGCGAGAGGCGAGAGGCGCCCGCGGCAGAGCGAGGGGCGCACCACCTGGAGTGCATGGCGCGCAGCTCCCCATGGAGGAGCCAGGAGCACCGGGCCGGGGCGCGGGCAGGTGCTCACGAGCTGGGCTGGAGCCGCAGCGGGAGAGTGGCGCGGCCCCCGGGGTGGATGCCGCGCCCGCGGGACGGCACGTAGCGCACCACCCGGGGTGGGTGGCGCGCCGAGTGGGATGCACCTAGCCGCTGCGACGCGCTGAGGCAAAGCTCCCGACCGCACGTGCTATGTTCTGTACGCACATCCCAGTGGTCAGCGGGTATCGGTACCAAGTGTTCGAGTCTACTGGGATCTCCGAGGGTAGTCTGTTCTGTTCCCGTCGTGTCGGGTTTTGTGTTAAGTCGAGCCTGTCCCTCCACGGGAGGACAATTCAAAGATAGGCTAAAAATAGTCTGGGGGCGGTACTTCTGATTTTTTGTTTTTTGCATTTTTGCGTATTTGTTTGACTACTTTTTTTTTTGTCGTCCAACATCCGCCTGTGGGGGGACAGTGCCCGACCTGAGCTTTTTGGGGGGGGGGGGGGGGGCGTCTCCGGAGGCTGCCCGTCGGCCACGGCTGCGCGCGGCGCGAGAGAGAGAGCTGCCAGGACGGACCCCGGGCGGGGCCCGGGGGGCCGATGCGAGAGGCGTCGTCGCTCGACAGGTGCCGGAAGCAGGTAAGCAACACTCACGCATATACCCAGAGATCCAACGCATTGAAAAAATCAAAAGCTTTTCCGCAAATTTCGGCCCGTAGGGGCCCTCGCTGGGCCTCGGGACCGTCCACAAAAACGGCTCAGGATGAAAAACCGGTCCTGGGGAATGGGTCGAGTCTTCCGGGGACCGCGTATTCAAAAAATCACGACATCGGATCTTTGGGTAACATATGGTGTGAACTCCCCCGCTCTCCCCCCGAATGCAATGTTGGACTCGGACCTCCCGAGTTTCAGTGTCGGACCAGTGGTGCGTAGACGTGCCAACTCTGAATTGCGGGGGGGAGGTGGGAGTGTTGCTTAATTTCTTCCCTCAACCGGATGGTCGAGGACTCAGGATTGCGGTTTTGGGGCATCTTTGGGCCGCCTGTTGGGGTCCTGTTGGCGCCTTCGGAATTCTGGTCAGAACGCGCCCCAGGAGAAGTCAGGGGGTCGTCGTCTTCGTCGTTGGCTGCGCCGCTGCCGCCGTCGTGTTCGTTTCCGGCGTCGTCGTCGTCGTCGTCATTGTGATCCTGATTCTTCCTTCGTCCGTCATGCCCCCCTCTCTGCTTGCCCCTTCCTCCCCGTCCCTATTTCTTCACTGTCCCAAACCAAGGGAGGAAAAACCACCCGGACCCGACAATTTACAGTACGTTTACGAAACGGCTCTGAGCGTTTACTAAACAGCTTTGCCCTGTTCGATTCCTTCCCTGGGTGCGTTTACTGAACGGCTTCGCTTGTCGGGGTGGATCATTATGGGGGGGATTTTCTGCTCCGCAAGGCCCATGGACCCTCTCCGGAAGTGTGAGGACATGCTAACTCATGCCCACATGCTACCTCGTCCCCGTCCTCCTCCTCCCCGCCGGCCAGAAACGGCGGCGGCGCCAAGGCCGACCGTGGACGAGCTGCTGGCCTGCCCGGTAGTGCGCGCGTGCGCGGCACGGCTGCCGCCGGACCCGGACTGCCCCCAGGAGCCGCCGCCGCTGCCGCCGCCGCCGTCGTGTCGCCGTCGTCGTCGTCGTCGTCGTCGTCGTCGTCGCCGTCGTCGTCGTCGTCGTCGTCGTCGTCGTCGTCGTCGCCATCGTCGTCGTCGTCGTCGTCGTCGTCGTCGTCGGCGGCGTCGTCGCCCTCGTCGTCGTCGTCGTCGTCGTCGTCGTCGTCGTCGTCGTCGTCGTCGGCGTCGGCGTCGTCGGCGTCGGCGTCGTCGTCGTCGTCGGCGTCGGCGTCGGCGTCGGCGTCGTCGGCGTCGGCGTCGGCGTCGGCGTCGGCGTCGGCGTCTGGCCGTAGAGGCCCCAGATCTCTTAGCAATTCAGCGAAGTTGGCAAATGCCCAACTTCGACGACAACGCTGTCCACGCATCTCCATACTCCCAAACGCCTTGGTCGGATGCATTCTTGCACTTCGGACATGCGCTCTACGCTGAGCGTTTCTCCCAGGAGCTGGTAATTATGAAAAGAAGCCCCCCAAGGGATGGGGTGGTTCAGACTTAGAGGGCATTTCTTGCAAATTTTGTCCTCGTCCCAAGGTTCGTAAAACAGCAGCGGGCTCTGCTCAACAGAAACGCATGTGCTTCCCCTCGCGTCCCCAGGTGGTGCATTGTGTCACTCTCTTTTGTGCGTGTGTGTTTTCGCTCTTCGCCGTCGTCTTCATCGTCCCTCATGCCTCCTCCTCATGCCTCCTCCTCCTCCTCCTCCTCCTCCTCCTCCTCGTCTTCCTCCTCCTCCTCCTCCTCCTCCTCATCATCATCATTATCCTTGTCCTTCTGGCATGAGCTGGTTTCGCCGGCGCTGGTTTCGCCCCGCTGGTTTGGTTGGTTTCGCCCTCCCTGGTTTCGCAGGCGTTGGTTTCGCCCCGCTGGTTTCGCCCCGCTGGTTTCGCCAGCGCTGGTTTCGCCGGCGCCGCCGACGCGAGCCCTAACGGGCGGCTCGGGTCGGGCGGGCGGACCCCAGCGGGCGGGTCGGATTGGGTCGGGCGGGCGGACCCTAACGGGCGGGTCTGGTCGGGCGGGCGGGACATGAAAGTGCGGGGCGCGCTCGACCGAGCACACGCGAACCTTTACGGGCGGGTCGGGTGCGGGGCGCGCTCGACCGAGCACACGCGAACCTTTACGGGCGGGTCGGGTCGGGCGGGCGGACCCTAGCGGGCGGGTCGGGTCGGGTCGGGCCGGGCGGACCCTGACGGGCGGGTCGGGTCGGGCGGGCGAGACATTAAAGTGTGGGGCGCGCTCGACCGAGCACAGAGAACCCTTACGGGCGGGTCGGGTCGGGCGGGCGGACCCTAGCGGGCGGGTCGGGGCGGATCGGGCGGGCGGACCCTAACGGGCGGGTCGCTCTGGGGGGCGGGACATTATACAGTGTGGGGCGCGCTCGACCGAGCACGAGCGAATTGTAACGGGCGGCTCGGGTCTGGCGGGCGGACCCCAGCGGGCGGGTCGGATTGGGTCGGGCGGGCGGACCCTAACGGGCGGGTCGGGTCGGGCGGGCGGGACATGAAAGTGCGGGGCGCGCTCGACCGAGCACACGCGAACCTTTACGGGCGGGTCGGGTCGGGCGGGCGGACATTGTCGGGCGCATCGGCGGCAGTTGGTTTCGCCGACGCCAGCTGATTTCGTCGACAGGAGCTGGTTTCGCCGACGGAACTGGTTTTGCCGACGGAGCTGGTTTCGCCGGGCGGCGAAACCAGCTGGGCGAAACCAGTTTCCTCTTCTTCTTCATTCTCCTTGACCTCCTCCTCCTTCTCCTCCCCCTCCTCCTCTTCCTCCTCCTCCTCCTCCTCCTTTTCCTCTTCCTCCTCCTCCTTCTCCTCCTCCTCTTCCTCCTCCCCTCCGCCTCCGCCTCCTCCTCCGCCTCCTTCTCGTCCTCCTCCTCCACCTCCTCCTCCCCCTCCTCCTCCTCCTCCTCAATTCCTTTTCTTTCTAAGTTCTAGACGCTTCGCGTATCCCCACCAGCCAATCCAGAAATGATGTCCAGGCGAGTTGAGGCGATCAGGGAAGTGCGGGAGCAAAGAGGGGGGCGGCCGAACCGTGCGAAGAAGGGAGGTGGAGGAGGAGAAGGAGGAGGCTGGATGGATGGATCAGGGAATGGGGAGAAGGAAGATGAATAGGATGAGGTGGAGGAGGAGGAGGAGGAGGAGGAGGAGGAGGAAAAGAAGAGAAGGAGTAGGAGGAGGGAAGAGGAGCAGGAGGAGGAGGGCAAGTAAAAGGGCCAGAGGTCTCTTGGATGCCTCTCGGAGCCCCTTGGAATATCTCTTGGGCGCTTCTTGGTGGCCTCTTGGGACGTTTTGGGGGTCTCTTGGCGGTCCTGGGGGGGCTCTTGGGCGTCTTGGGTGCCTCGGGGTTGGGCCTCTTGGGGTCCTCTTGGGGGCCTCCTGGGGGCTTCTTGGGGGCCTCTTGGGGCCATCTTGGGGCCATCTTGGGGCCTCTGGGCCATCTTGGAGGACATCGATCACAGAAGGGGATGGTCGGAATTTGCGTTGCCCCCCCAAGAGGCCAAGCCGGGGCCAAAACCTGAGTAAAATCTCTGCGGGCACGCTTCCGTGTTTGGGTCAACGCTCCCGCGCCACCGTTCGGCAAATGGGAACCAAGGCGCCGCCAGACCCGACTGGAATACACCAAGGGCCCGTCTGGCAGGAGCGCCGACCCTGCAACCACGAACCAATGAGGGTGGACGAGGGTGGGAAATTGCACATCAACGCACAGACTGTCGCCCTGTCCTGCGGGGCACTGCGCGCACAAGACCACGCGGCGCCACACACGGTTGACGACCACCTGGAGCGGACCCCCTTTTGTGCGAACGCCGGTCGTCCCACCGACCCGAGCACGGCGAGAGCAGCAGGCCAATCAGCCAACCAACCAAGGAAGAGGAAGGGATGACAACGTGGCAGCCCCACGCAGAGTACGCCAGCCTCTGCGAGGCCACCGGCCGTGAGACGAGAGAGTCCGCCGTGCCTCGGAGGCACTGCCAGGCACTGAGCAAAGCGCCGGAGACGCCAAGAGGCCAAGAGGCGAGGAAACAAATACCACCTTGCCCTGGTGATCCTCCTGCCCCCGAATTCGCTTCGCGATTTGGGGGTTATGAAAATCTCTGCGGGCACGCTTCCGTTTTTGGGTCGACGCTCCCGCGCCACTACGCAGAGCGTCGAATGCGCCGGGGGCCAGGGGGCCTCGCTGCTCATGGCCACAGCTGCCCCCCAGAGCTGGATTGCGCTCGCATGCTGCGCGGCGCTCCTGCGCCAATCCTAAAACTCCAACCGCGCAGCCCGCGTCTCGAAGTTGGCAGCGCCCGGCCCTGCTGCTCGAGCTCGTCTGGCCGCCGCCCGGGGCGGGGCGGGATCATCGCCGAAAGGATTGCCAGGATGTTAGGCCATGTCGCGAACTGCTGCAGCCAGCGCACTCGGTTCGATGCGTTGCTGCTCGCGGCGCGCATCGGCCAGAACCTGCAGGGCAGCCGCGCCCTTCCGAGGCACTCTGCGCCGATGCCGCCTTCAAGCCGACAGTCCCCGGCAGGGGCTGCAACGGCAAGGGCCGGTGCAGCGGCGTGTTCTACATGCGCTGCGCGGCGGCGACTGATCCGTTCCAACTGGCGCAGCGCGGGGGGCGACTGACAAGCTCGCGCGTGCACCCAGGCAGAGGCTGCCAAATCGACTGGGCCTCGCCGAGATCCAAGTCGCAGAAATCTTGAGGCCCTGTCTGGGCGGGAGCAAAATTATCAGTTGGCAGTCCAGGCGGCGGAGCTGGGGCAATCTGCCGGACAAGGCCCCTTAGAACATCCAGGAGAACAGGGGCTGCTGCTGCCGCCGCTCGCGGAAACTCGTTTGGGTCAACCGCGGGCCCAGCGGCGCGCGCCGAGGCCAGCGCGCGGCTCCCCCGGCAAACTTGAGAAGTCACACTGCGCAGAAACGGTTGCAATGATCAGCGCCACTTTCGCGCGCAAGCCCTCTGGCCGGCCTCCGCGCGCGACTGGCGTTCTGAACGCGAATGGGCATGGCAATCGGAATCCGACCCGCGATCCTGGGCGCGCGGATCCGGAATAGTTGCGCGCTCGAGATATTGACCGTTCGGCGCCCGGCGCGGGGGGGGGGGTCTCCGACGCCGGCCACGCGCCGAGGAGGCGGACATATCCGACGCCATCATCGCGCATTTTCTTTTTCCGCGGGCGGATTTGCTTGCAGCGAGCCCGCCAGGGATTGCGTTGCCGGGGCCGCGGGGCGTCGGGGGGATCCGCCCACGGAGCCCGGGAAAAACTTGCGTTGCGCTGGCCATGTCCTGCAAAGCTGGGCCCTTGCTTTGCGGCAACGTCGGCGCGTCTGCGACGTTTGCGTGGCCGGGCGCGTTGAAACTATGCGGCAGCACGCCGGCCCTGGCAACGCGAAACCACGGGTCTCCGATCAGATCGTTCCAGTCGGTTGGCTGCGGCGAACCCGTCAGCAAAGCACCGAGAGCAGCATTGTTTTCGACGAAAAGAATGATTTCCAAAGCGCCGAGGCCCTGGCCCTGGCCCAGGGGCCAATGTAGGGCGCGCGCACAGTTGCCATCAATTCCTAGGTTGCGACCTTGTTTTTCCGATAGCACGCCCAGCGCCAAAAGGCGTCGGACACCGCGGAGGCAGACCGGAGACGCCGACCAGGCAGGCAGATGGCCCATGCTAAGTTGCCTTGCCCAGTCGCGTCCGAGTACACCGTGCACTTGACGCGCTCTGCTGGCCTCGGGCGCAGCGCAGTGCGCCGCGGCACGCATTCGAGAAAAAGGAGCCACCAGCGCACGAGCGACGCGCCTCGGCAGCGCAGACGACGTTCCCGACGCCCGCCTGAAGAGAGGCGCGAGATGCACTCGCGGCGCCCGGCCGAACGCAGCAGAAGCCCCCCGGGCTAAACGCCCCGCTAACTTCTCGGCGTCGGAAAGGGTTCAACGCCTCACGCTGCAAAATGTTATGAATTTGATCCTTCCACCGCGCCAGCTTCTCAGGACCGACAT